TCCTTTCAGGCAGTTGCAGAGAGCGATGAGGGCTCCCCTCAGCCTCCTCTTCTCCAGGCTGAGCCCCCCCAGCTCCCCCAGCCGCTCCTCCCCAGCCTTGTGCTCCAGACCCTGCCCAGCCTCACTGCCCTGCTCTGGCCATGCTCCAGCACCTCAATGTCCTTCTCGTAGTGAAGGGCTTGCTTTTGGTACTCAAGCCATACTTTCAGGGAAAGCCACAGGTACACAAGGTGGGGGAACAGTTGAAGCCCCCATTGCTGCAAGCAACATGAGAAGAAATAGCTGACCTAGCACCAGCAATCCTGCTGGGGACAGGGGCGAGGAGGTGGTGGTCACAGAGCCAAGACTGCAAGCAATGTTGCTTTGTGTTGCGCTGCAGGAAGGATGAAACCACGGGTTATTACCCCTCCATGTACCTGCAGAAAGCCGGGGAGGCGAACACCTCTGTGAAGAGCGAGCTGAGGAACCGGAGCGCTCCTCCACGAAGGTAGGACAAGCCCCAGGTGGGGGGGAGGAGGACTAAAGGTCTTCTTCAAGGGGGGTGAAATGAAACCAGACAGTGGTTTGTGGTGTCTCTTTCTTGCCCTGGCAATGAGGAACCGCCCAGGAGAGATGTGAGCAGGTCAAAGAGACCAGGAGGCAGATCCTTCAGGGCTGCAGGAAAAATAGCTCTGTGCTCCCCGACTTCCACAGGCGGAGAGGCACCCCAGCATTTCTGACGCAGGGCTTCACGGTCCTTGCTCCAGCAGGTCCTCCAGCCAGCCGTATTTCTCCTTGTCCTTCCACAAAGTTTCTTTTCTAATCTCATTTAATTTTCAAATGGGCCTTTTTCTTATTTCCTAAGTGCATCCACTGAATCTTTGAGAAGCGGGGAGAGATTTAACTAATCAGAGCTGCCAAATGGCCTAATCTGATGGGAGGATTTGAGCTAATGGAAGGGTTTTTATTTTGATTAAAAAGATAAAAAGCAATAATAACTCATTAATTCCGATGCAAAGAAAACTGCTAGGAAGGGCAGAGCTTGCCGCTAGCTTTTCTTCCCTACAAGAAGAAACGGCAGCCTTGCTATAAAATCTCTCAAAATCCAGCTCTGCTGGAGCACAGATTGAGTGTGAGACAGTGTAAAATGGCCCCAATCCACCCAGTTGAGCGTAGTGATGCCTACTGAGACCCTTGGGGGAGGTGAGGTGGCCTGTTTCTAGGCCAGTGACTCGCCCCACCGTGGTGAGTGCTGTCCCTAGGCTGAGCCCTGTTGCACAGGTGGTGACCTGTCATTGTGGGCAAGAGCTTTGCTTTGAGATGGATACGTGCTCAAAGCCGGGAGAGGCTGAAGGCAGATGGGCACAGCAAGGGGCCATTGCCTTGGGCAGAGCAGGAGGACGATGCCATGGGATGGATGTCAGGAGCCACCTCGCTCATGACCTGGTAGTGAAGACAAAGCGGTGGCCTCCATCTGCCTGCCTGGGGACGATCCCTGATGCTGGGCATTCCCCCATGGCAGCATGCTGCCGCACAGCCCCAGGCTGCTCAGGCTTTCACTTCTCTCAGTAGTTTCTCTGCTGTGGGTTCGATACCACACGTCCAGGTGCACGCTGACACATACGCCACGCTCTGTTCCCCTGGCCCAGGGACTGATCCTTGGGTGATGGGGAGCTGTGCCAAACACCACACCGGGGATCTCAGTGTTGCAGCCAGTAGGGATGCTGTATGTCCATCCCTCCAAGAGCTATAGCTCACTTCCCAGGCTTTCTTGAACTCTGTTGGATAAACCTCATGCCTATCTCGTCCTTCCAGCCTTACGCCCAATCTACCTCACCATCCCCATCGTTACTTTCCAGGCTTGTACTCAGGCTTCACCCTTCAGTATTTGCTTCCAAAGCACTGCTCTAGCTGCCTCCTAACATGCTGTACATCACGTCTCCCCTACGGCTGCCCTCGAGGGCTGGCATCCACCCGCTTCCTTCCACTGGGCAAAACCACAAAGCCAATATTGGGGTCTGGGTGAGGCAGAGGAGGAAGCGTGTGGTCCGGCTGCAGCAGGTCCATGAGAGGCAGGGCCAGGGAAATCCTCAGCGAGAAAGTGTGAGGCGTGAGAGCTGCCAGCATGGAAACTGGAAGTTTTGTTTCTGACTTACTGCAGATCCACCATCCGAAATGTGAACAGCATCCACAAGCAGAGCCGGAAGCAGATCAGCCAGGAGACCTACAGGAGGAACAGCAAGAAGTACATCCAGAGCCAGAGGAACATGAAGGAAAATTTCCAGAACAAGGCCAACGTCATCAGTAAGTCTCAGCAGGGCCTCTGCCCTGCACACGGGCTGAAGTCCTGCAGGCACGGCCCGTGCCCTCCAAGGCTGATTGCTGGAGTAGGACAGCAAATGGAGGTCACAGCTTGCCTGTTCACCCTTCTCCTATGGGGAAAGCATGTGCCAGGAGACATTTCTTTTCAATGAGGTTTCTTACCTCTGGTTATAGATTTGACAGAGAAGGAGCAGAATATGGTCCTGGTGGGAGGTCAGCCCGCATTTAGGACCTGTGCTTTCCTCTGTGCGTCCAACCTCACCTGTGCTTCTGTTACCATTATCATTATCATGTACAGTGGCTGTCAGCAAAGCGCCTAGAGGGAGGTGGTGCATGAAGAAGGAGGCTGCTATTGAGGCAGATGCTTTAGATCTGGTAATGCCCGTGCAGGATCCATGACCTTCCCAAGGGTGAGCAGCTCCTCCTTGCATAGACCTAGAGCTGGGCTCCGACCTGAGCAGAGCTCCCAGCAGGGAACTGGTGGGCTCATGCCATGACCCCGACCTCCGGGAAGACCATCACATGTGGCTGAGACAGTAGGAGAGGCAGGAGGTTTGGTGGCCATTACATAGGAAGCTTTTGAACATTCACATGAAGGTATTGGGTGGTGGAGAGCTCTGACCCATCTGCACATGTGCTTTACCCACAGTTGAGAAAAACGAGCGAGAGAACAAGCCCAAGGCTCAACCCGCTGTTCCTCCCCGTCCCAGCAAAGACCTCATCCTGACCCGCTGTACTGAGAGCACCCGGAGAAAGGTCCTGTGAATCCTCAGCCTGCCCCACCAGCCACCCAGTGCTTTATCTAAGCCCCCAGCCTGCCCCACCAGCCACCCAGTGCTTTATCTCTGCCAGCTCCTGGGCAGCCGGAGCTCAGAGCCAGACGGGGGATCAGGTGGCTCTGGCAGCCGCTGCAGGCCCCGGGGGCTGCCGGCCGGATCGGCACAGCCCAGCGCCCGTCTTCATCCACCGGGACGGCAAGCCCAAGGCGTCCTAATGACACCATGAGGAGGGACCCAGCCCCGCTCCACCGGCTCCGGGGGAGCTGAGGCCTCCCCAGCCACTGGACACCCCTCGCCACTAGACCCCCTTTTATCCCCTATTTGTATGTTGAATGATTTTGCGTTTTTCACCAATAAAAGAGAGACACTTTACAGACGTATTTTGACGTCCACCTGGACGGCGGGTCAATGCAGCCACCGGGGAGCAGCCCGGCGGCCGGCGGCATGGCAGCAGGAAGGGCATTTCTCCCTGCCGTGTCTGGTGGGGAATTGGGCAAGGGTCTCTTGCGAAAGATGCCGGCAGGGAGGAAATTTTGTTGGGGGGACGAACGATGGCAGCTTCCTCCTGGAAGGCGGCTGCTTCACTCCCTCTAGTGGAAAGCAACGGCCAGGATGTGGGGATGTGGTGTCTGCTGGCTGGGGTAGGAGCCATGAGGCAAGGTGGCCACCTCAAATGGTGGCAGGGCATGAGGGGCGAGCAGCTTCCCAAAGCTGCAGACGCAGGTCCTTCCTGCCGCCTCGCGGAGGGCCGCCATGTCAGGAGGCTGGTGACCATCAGAGCACGGCCAGCACCTCCGGGACAGGGCTGCTTTTCGACAGGGAGCATGGTGCGAGGGCTGTGTTTGGGTGCCACCATGGGACCCCTGCCACTGCCACGCCAGGCGGGTTCAGGTTCAGGTTTGCGGCAAGGTCTGCGTCTAGGTTTGGGCCTGGGTTTGGATTTGGGTCTGGGTCTGTGTCTAGTTCTGGGTATGGGACTAGGTCTGGGTCTGGGTTTGGCCCTGGGTCCGGGACTAGGTCTGGGTTTGGGTCTAGTTCTGGGTCTAGGGCTAGGCTTGGGTCTGGGTCTGGATCCAGGTTTGGGTCTAGTTCTGAGTTTAGGACTAGGCTTGGGTCTGGGACTAGGTCTGGGTCTGGGTTTGGGTCTGGCCTTGGGGTGAGGTCTGGGTTTGGGTCTAGTTCTGGGTATGGGACTAGGTTTGAGTCTGGTTTTTGGATTTGGGCCTGGCCCTGGGTTTGGGACTAGGTTTGGGTCTGGATTTCGGCCTGGGGGTAGATTTGGGTCTGGGTCTGGGTCTGGGTCTAGGTTTAGATTTAGAGCTGGGGCTGGAGCTGGGGCTGGGGCTGGTTGGGTGGAGCCGGTAGATTTGGGTCTGGGTCTGGGTCTGGGTCTAGGTTTAGATTTAGAGCTGGGGCTGGAGCTGGGGCTGGGGCTGGTTGGGTGGAGCCCGCCCTCTCCGCAGGGCGGCATGGCCCCTTTAAGACAAGACCGTCGCGCGCCCCAGCCGGCCGACTCCTCGCG